TATTTCATTCGTTTTTTCTTCAACTTGAAAATGATCTCAGAGAGATCGAAACGTCGTTTTTTACCGCTAGGTTTTAGTCTGAAATGTTTTTCAAAAAAACTACTTATAAGAAAAATTAACTCTATGGAAATTTGTTTTTAAGTAATTAATGATACGATAACATAAAACATTGATAAAAAAAACTGTTTATTCATCTATGCAATGCAACTGGAGTAGCCATCACACCGAGTTGTTGGAACATACATTTGTCTTACTGATTTTCTATTGTTAGAAAATGTTTATGCCACGCTGATCAAATTTATGGCCTTGTTTTTACCCATTCGTACGGCTAAAACAGTTCCACTAAAAAAACACAAAATTTCAGTTCTCACTAAAATAACTTTTAATAACCGTAAGCTAAGCGATAATCTCGATAATGAGAGCTGATTAATTAGGACTGGGGCCTAGACACTTCCTCGATCATTATCCGAGACACTGATTCCCATCCAGTGTAAGCTTCACCCAAAGTATTGCCACTAGGACAAGATCCTACCCATAATTCCACTCTAACCGTGCCCTGTGGGATGTTTTCACAGTATCCCTCAAATGATTGATGATGACGCAGCTCGGGACTCCCAGATGGCTAATAATTATACACAACAGCTTCGATTGTCATTGGTCCACTGTATTCGTTTCCATTAAACTTAAAGAACCACCGGTTACACCTAGAAGTGCCCAGGACTCTCATATTTCCCTGGAATGAGACTTTGATTGCAGTATCAGACTGCAACTTATTAAACGGGCAGTCCTGGAACAAACGAAAGTAAATCAAGTCAGTCCTCATAACAATAAATTACATCACACTGGTTGTATTTGTATCATTAACTGGGATCATATCTGAACACTGGTCATCAGTTGTTGGCTGCGCGGGAGAAAGTGTCAAGCGTGGTGTAAGGAGCTACCCTTAAATCTAGAGGAGTGAGACAATCTGGGTGAGTTTTTGGGAGTACTGGCCTCTTAAAAGGCGTTTGGTTATCATGGTTACCGTTACACTAAAATCTCAACAGCAAGACCACCGTCACTATATCTTTATGGTGTTATATTTTTCACTAGGTGTAGATTGCGTTCCCTCAAACTATCAAATCTCCTTCTCCNTCAACAGCAAGACCACCGTCACTATATCTTTATGGTGTTATATTTTTCACTAGGTGTAGATTGCGTTCCCTCAAACTATCAAATCTCCTTCTCCTTTCTTCCAAACAAAAACACGCCAAGCACCGTCTAATAATACCTAGTGCTCAGTTCACACCCAACTAAAAAAAAGAAGTCATAGAAGGCGTCGACAAAATTTAATAATGAAGAACTTTGCCAGCTGAATTTACACAGAAAATAATGTTTGAGTTCTGAGCCCCCAAAAAGAGTTAAATCGATGATCTATGACCAGATACCAGTTAGACGATCTTGGCAGTGATCAATAGACTCACACTCCATAAGCTTCTGAAGGTAGTAACATCATTGCGCACCTATTGCGGACCCGCATCCGGCGAGTTTGGTCACGTGTTAGAGAGCTTACTCTTGGTTGAATTTTTGGATTTTCTTAATCAGAACGTTTTTCTCTTACTTTAATCTTACCGCTATCTCGACGATCATTAACCTTCCACACACATTGTTTCCAGTTGGTTTGTGACACTGCACTAGAAGGACTTGTCACGCTTTCTCCTTTCTCTCCCTTATCGCCTTTTATTCCTTGATCGCCCACAGTTCCACGCGCTCCTTTTATT